GCCGAGGCCAACGCAATGGCATTGATAAAGAGCATGTCCGGCCTCAGCAGGTGCCTAAGGTTCAACTACGTCCAAAACGAAGTTCCCTCAAAGCTCCGCAACGCAAACCCCCCAAAGAAACCAGGGCACGCGAAGCCTGTCAGCGCGTCTTATCAAGCCGCCATTTCGCATCCGAAAGCGGTGAGACGTCTCTTGGCAGGCTGCATTTGGCAGGCTGCCCGAGACAGGTGCTGCGCGCGCCACTCGTGTCCACGGAGGGTCAACGCCTCACCTTCAGATCCAAGCTAAGCTGAGGATCGTTTGCCATCTTTCCAACCCGGCACCGAGCTTCGGGGCTTCGCGCTGCAGCGCAAAGACCACGGTGCTCCAATCCTACCACATCCTACCGCGAGTTACTCGCCTTTTCGTGAGCCTCAAGGAACCTTTGAGTCCCCGCTGTTTGCAGCCGTGGACTTATCCTTGGGGGCTCTGGCTTTGGGCCCGTGCCCAAGAAGCACGTGTCAGCTCTAGACCCCATCTCCAGCGAGCTCGGCGATGAGTGTGAAGTCTTGAGCTTCTGACAAAACAACTCAAAATTGTGACTGTGAGCGTTGTGCTCAATGGAGCAGCCACCCCAGATGCATGCCTGAATTCATACAGATGCATCAAAAAGCATCGATCTGCACGAATTTTGACCGGAATACGCGGCGAGTCGCTGCCCGGAAAGATCTACACCCCAGGCCTTCCTTGAATCCTTTGCGGAGAAGCCACATGCTTCGGGCAAACGGCCATGATGAAGCCAAAATGGTCTCCCCTGGGCAGAAATCAGCCGAAAGTTTTGCTGAGGGCTTGCGGGAAAGGAATCTGACCAACGTGCTCGGATCAATCTGCGAGCATCAACAAGGACTCGCGAGCTCTCCTCCCCCATTCCGCCCAGACCACTCATATGCATCAATCTCATAGCCCTGACCCTTCAACAGTTTATGCTTTGCTGCGACAGGTGGGCATGCTGCAAATCGTGTGGCACTTCAGCGACCCAAATCGGCCTTAGCTATCCTTAGCTATCCTTGGCTCGGATTGAACTCTTCCATCTTTGACAGCAGCTTCTCCGCCTCAGATCAAGCCAGATGCAAGCTTCATGACCAGGCATCTGGTCTTACTGCGAGGGTGCCGCATAGTTTGGGGTGTAATACTGCACGATCTCCGGAGGATATAGCATGTTGATGGAGTCGATGAAATCCTCTCGGTCCAAGAACGCGCCCAGGCAGACACCGCAACAGCACTGGTATGAGAGCATACCATGACCATGTTTCCAAACTTGATCGTGATTCCGTGACTTCGATTTGTGGGAGAACCGGGCACGGCGGAAGTTGGCTTGCTGGGAAGTAAGTTTTCGAGGTCACAAAGCAAATGAAATGACCCCGCTAGCTCCGCCCTCGCCGTGCGCAAGAGAGTGAGTGAAAGAGTGAGTGAAAGAGAGCAGGAGCGAGAGAGAGAGAGAGAGAAAGACAGAGAGAGAGCGAGAGAGAGAGAGAGAGCAATTCTTGGCACTGAAGTGCGCTCGCGAGCCTTCAGCTTGGACCCTGACTCTGCACAGACCTGGCGTGATCCGGGAACGGCATCGCCCAGAGAAACCAGATGCCGTTAACAGATTGAAGGTTCCACATCGATCTGTCTCCAAGCTTGCACTCCAAGCACCCTCCGTGCACAAAGCCAGAAAAGGTGTTGCTTTCTTTTCAGTGAGGGAGGCAGTGACGATGACAGTGACAGTGACAGTGACAGTGATTGCTGGGGATCAGCGCCCTGGCCTCCTGCACCTTCTGCAGGCTGCCAGATTGCACGAACGCCCGCCGTGCAGCTATATCGTTCGGGAGAACTTTGGCAAATTGCTGGACGACGTACCTTGCTAAAGAGCATCAAAGTGTCTCAAGCAGCAATGTGGAACTAGTGCTCCCCAGCCCCCTGAAGCCCTTGAGTGCTTGAGACAAGGCGCTTCAAAATATTCGGCGGGGAGTCAATTAGCGGCTCCAGGGCCGGAAGGTGAGTGCACTTCTGGATGATGCTCTTCCTTGCAAGCTGTATGCCGCTCAGCTGCAGCTTCCAACATGCCAACGTATGCCCACCTGCCACTTTCTGCCACTTTCTGCCGCTTGCGCACTCATGTGAGGACAGACGCTAGCTGTCCGCCTTCAAAACTGCGCGAGTTTTCACTTAGCGTTGTCGACTTAGGCTGAGACAGCCAACCACTGACACCCAGGCAATGGCTTCAGCGAAGCTTCAAAGCTCGTTTCGTCTTGATCTGAAGGTCCTCACTCGAGTCCTCACACAAGCTCTTGGCTCTTGACATGACTCCATGAGGGTCAGCCACACAGGTCGCAAGGAATCTGGGAAGGAATGCCCGATTGCCTGTGCCCAGGCATAATGGATCCCCAAAGACACTGCAAGAAAACATGCGGCGGAGGGTGCTAACTTAACTGTATGAATTCTGAGTGCTCTGGCGAACACCGACAGTTTTGACGCCGACACGACACAACATAATCCCTGCAGTAAACCTCGCAGTCCTGATGCAGGTATACGGCCAGCATCCTGCTTGGCCCATCCACAAAGCGAAGGACACAAGCAGCGATGACCTAAACCGAAGTGCACCACTTCAAGGCCAGATCACCTTCGCAGCACATCTGCTTCCGCCAGCGCCCTTGCATGATCTGGCGAGTGACGGCCTGGCGTCACATTCATATAAAACAGGAAAAAGCGCAATCCTCCGCTTCACAGTCTGCCTATCTGGCCCAACGACCACGCAGCGGCGGCTTTGACGTGATCCTTTCCAACATCATGTTCAAGCCCTCGGCCACACCTCCTTCTGTCTGGTCTTCTTCATTTTGCCGTCACCCGTCCTCCGGCTCACTGATCAGGGCATTCTTCAAAGGAGGAACTCCTTTGGACACGACCTTGCTCAATACATCGGGCAAACAGCAACCACGACCAGAAGTGCCTTGCCTTATGTGAGCACAGTGAACTGCCGACACAGCTAGCAACTACCTACCACGATTCACGATCAGGATTCTGTATGTGCAGCCATGCTGTACATGGTGCTATGGAATCTTACCCTGCACCTGGAGGCGCCGAAGTCATGCCCTGATTTGGTTCCGGGGCTATGTGGAAGAACCGCAGAAAGTGGTAAAAAATCTTCAGTGACCACAAGCAACCGGTGCGAGCCACCAACATCTTCAGAACAAGTGTTCGAAGTGAAGAGGCCGAAGAAGGTGGCAAGAGCCCACAGTGCATGGTCTGACAATGCCTTTGGGGTTTGCCAAAAACTGGCCCCAAGCCCTTCCCAATAAAGGAACGTTTTTGACAGGTGTCCCAGAGTGGACCAACTCCCCCCCACCACCCCAACCACCCCCGCCCAACGACCTTCACCCTGCCAGTGTTCCACTCCAACGGACTGGCCTCCACCTTCCCACTAGGGTTTAGGGTTTAGGGTTTAGGGTTTCGGGTTTAGGGTTTAGGGTTTAGGGTTTAGGGTTTAGGGCCTCCTTCTCCTTCTTTCGCTCCAAGCGAGCAGAACAAGCACCTCTGCGCAGGCCCCGGTCGAGGCGGGTCGCGAAGCGTTAAAATTGTTGTTTGACATGTGCTAGCGCCTCCACAAACATGACGTCACATGTGCTTCCTCGCGACAACAGCCAGAGCCAGTGTCTCGGAGAAGGCGGCGACATAACCTTTACAAAGAAAAGAAGGAGCCATTGACACCATTCAAGTCCGAAAAGCTTGGCCAGATCTGATGTACATGAAGGGACGTCTTGTCCAGATTTCTTGCTTCCTCCAAGTGGCCAAGGGCCATGATGCCCGGCAATCCTCAGGGAAAGTTATGAGCCTCTTCGAAGGACTGCATGATCCTCCTTTAACAATATATAAACCAATGTGAAGCGCAGCTCTTGCCAGCCAAAGGTGGCGTGGTTGGCAGAAAATCTAGGGACCCAAGTATTGATCCAGGCGAGATGCTGCTGTTTCCGCGCGCTTCGCTCACGAAGTCGACCATGGCAGCAATGCCTCCGGCATTTACCTGGGACGCTCAAAGGAAGTCGCGCGAATTGCACCAAGCCCCTTTCAAGTCGCCCGTGGCCAACAAACAGGGAAAATGCTCCTTGCTGCTTGGGTGCTATGAGCTTGGCCAAATCGGGAGTATGCCTTGAAAGTTCTCCTTGGGTGTGCTCAAGGAAGCAGCTTTCTTGCAAGTGGGCTGCTGCTCTCCTAAGAGCATATGTATGTAACTGAAAACGTTTCGTGCTTACGAACATGTATGCCGATTCTTTCCTGCGTGCTATACTGCTATACTGCACCAGCTAAGAAAAACGCACGACTCTGCACAGCGGAATCGGTCATGTAGCTTTTGCACATCTGGCACCTCTCATACGACAGTGGATTTTCGCATGTGGGCGTGTGGTCTACGGATTGAAGCGGAGACGGGTAGACACAAGTGGGCTCAGCAGTTTAAACGCGACATTCAGGGTTTGGATGCAATGTAGGATGCCAGCTTTTGGAATACATCGAATATCGGGTCGCACTCGTTTCCGCTCAGTTCGGGATTGCTGCATCAAAGCCGGCCACGAGCCACTGCAGGCTGACTCCCCAAGACACAATGCAGGACGCGCACTCTCTGCACAAGACCTTCAGTAGTGTGAGAGTGTGTGTGTGTGTAACTGGCAGATGCAATGCACTGTGCGTTGGCCAGAAGGCGCGCACGCGAGCACACACGGAACATTGTCGGCTGCGAGCCATCGCAATGGCAAATGCATGCCCATGGTGTCGACATTCGGAGAACCTTTTCGGGTGGGTCCAAACGAAGAATGAGCAGGCGACGAATGTGCCATGCCTGTGTACATTGGGCGCGTCGGCTTGCAAGGGAGACGGGGGTGGTGGCAGACGATGAGCACCGAGTACCAATACCAGTAGCGAAACCAGCTGAGACGTGTCCTAAGCTACCAGCACCGAGATAAGACGTAAGCTATTCACCAACAGCTTCCTGACACCAGGCACTCTGTGCATTTGGTAGCATGCACTCC